AAAAAAAAAAAACTGTTACCTGCATGTAAACGCTGTGCCCGCTTGCTGCCGCCTTGCCCGCCTACTGGCGCCTCTGCCCGACAATGCTGCCGAATCCGCCGATCTGCGTAGACCGCCGAGGGCCGCCTAGGCCGCCTAGGCCCGCCTAGGCGCCGCCGAGCCTGCCCAACCGACTTTTATGGCCGATTTGGCCAAATCGTCGGCGGCTTTCCGGCGCCTAGCGCCTAGGCGACCGCTTAGGCCGAGTTTTAGTACACTGCTATTTTACCAAGTGGGTCAAAGCGGAGCCGTTGGCAAAAATTACGGAGGAAAAGATGATTCAATTCCTGTTTAACAATATCTGTTTTCGATTCGGAGTTTCGAAAGTGCTAATTTCTGACAATGGAACTCAGTTCCAGGGGAAACGAATCCAAGCATGGTGCCTCGACATGGGAATAAAGCAAAGGTTTGCCTCGGTCGCACACCCCCAGGCTAATGGGCAAGTCGAAGTGACTAATAGAACCATTCTCCAAGGATTAAAGAAGAGATTGGAGAGAGCATCAGGTGCTTGGGTCGATGAGCTGACAACAGTTCTATGGGCTAATAGAACGACCCCAAGAAGCTCAACAGGCCAGTCGCCATTTCACATGGTTTACGGAATGGATTCACTCTTGCCTATCGAAGTCGGCTTAGATTCTCACAGATCGACATTTTACGAGGAAAAGAAGAACGAGGAGATGATCGAAGAAGCCCTCGATATGATAGAAGAAGGACGAGAGGAGGCTTGGGTGCGATCCATGGAATACAAGCAGAAGATGCGTGCAGCCTTCGACAGAAAAGTCTGCAACAGACGATTTCAAGTTGGAGATCTCGTCCTCAAACGAGCAGATGCTCTTAAACATGTTGGGAAGCTTGAAGCTAAGTGGGAAGGACCTTACACCATCACCAAAGTGCTCGAAAGAGGTGCATATGAACTCGAGGATGGCGAAGGACGACAGTTGCCGCGATCTTGGCACGTGATCCATCTCAAACGCTTTTATGCCTAAGATAGTATTTTGAACTCTTTTGTACTGAACAATGCTTAATCAAATTCAGTAATGCAATGACTCCCAAGTTTATGTTTAAGTTGTGTCTTTTACATTTCCATGTCAATTTTATTATGATTACTCGAAAAATCGAATTTTTCAAAACATCTATAAAGCCGATTGACTCCTACGACTACTAAGTCGATCTAACACAACTACGAAGTTGTATGCCTCGAGTGGAATCTCGAAAAAAGGCTATGAAGCCTACGACTACAAATTCGATCTAACACAACTACGAAGTTGTATGCCTCGAGTGGAATCTCGGCAAAAGGCTACGAAGCTTACGACTACGAAGTCGATCTAACACAACTACGAAGTTGTATGCCTCGAGTAGAATCTCGGCAAAAGGCTACGAAGCCTACGACTACGAAGTCGATCTAACACATCTACGAAGTT